GTTTCTTGCCTTGAGTAAACAAATTGTGTTATTTATTTTCTTGAGAACATCTTATTTTAATAATGTATAGTTTGTTTGATCGAAGAAGTTGTTATGAGGATAAGTAATAATAAGTTAATTAATGCATGTTATAATGAAATTCGATTAGTTAATGTTTAAATAAAATCATGATATTAGCTATTTGCTCAAGATATTCTATTTATTCAATATTGAATTTTGTTAATAAATAACTCAATAACAAGAAGAGATGCTAACATTATGAAAGTGTTTTTCTAATCAAATTTGAATCAAGTTTGATATGAATTTATTACTGTGTATATTTTTGTTGATTCTAATAAAAATGGCACTCATAAATTATATCAACTATGGTTTTTGTATTTACTGTTCTTTTGTGTATGATAGTATTTAAGATGTTAATGAAAGACAAATGGGAGGAGAGTGTATTAGTTGTAAATATAATGAAAGAATTGGTAAAGAATCGTGCAAATACTCTAATAAAATAATAATGAGGAAGCACCAAATAAATATTCCAAAAGAAGAATTATAAACACATTAAACATTAAAGAAGATAAAGAATGAATAAAGCAAATACCAATAACTACAAAATAGAATTATAAATGAATGAAATTACAAAAAGTCTTAAGAATGGTTGTGAATTAGAATTAAGAATAATAACATTTAAAGAATGGTTTGAAGGATTATTAACAAAAAAGGAAAGATATATAAAACAAAAGTAAAACAATATTCAAATATAATTTTGATAACCTATTCTGGAAAATGTTGTTGGGTTATAAATTTCATCTTTCTTTCTTTTGATTACATTATTTGTATTTTCATTTGTTTCTGTTAAAATCCATTTAAAATCTTCAAAGTCATTAAATTCATAGAAAATTTGATTTTGATGATTTCTTATTTGTTCAATATCTTCTATTTCATTATGAATAGTATCATTTTCATATCTTGTTTCATGTTCAGATTGATCACTAAATATATTTTGATATTGGTTTTCTTCAGCTCTAGAAATTCTTGACATAATTTGATCCCAATATTCTCCATTGTCTAAACTAGGTTGTCCATCACTTTCAAAATAACTCTTTTTAGTAATAACAACACTTCCTAAATTTTCTTGAAATGGAATATTTTTTGTTTTACTTTCTTTTCCAAATTCAACACAAATTATACCTTTTGGATATGGATTTGGTTTATGATATTTCTCAATAGTCATGTCTTCATTAAAAAAGTCTCCTTCTTCTAAATCAACATCTTTTCTAGCTCCTATTTCTTGTATTTTCTTTTTGTGTTTTATTTCATCTAAACTTACTATAATATCTCCCATATTTTTATTATCTTTTACTTCTCTTTTTCTTTCTTTCTTTTCAAAATCAACTATATCATCATCATCTGAATATACAAGTCTTTTTTTCCCTTTCTTTTTTTCTTCTTCTTTAGGTGCTTTAAAAATACTTCCCTCGTCTACGGTTTCTATCTTTTTTTCTTTCTTTTCCTCTTTTTTCTTTCTCTTCTCTTCTTCCCTTTTCTTTTTTTCTTCTTCTTTCTTAAGTTCTTCTCCAATAATTGGATTTGTAAGTTGTTCAATAAAATATTCTTCTTCTTCTTTGACTTTCATTTTTTTCATTTCTCTTGCTACATCTTTTAGTTTGTCTTTATTATCTTTCTTAAACTCTTGTCCAATTACTCTTACAATAGGTTCAATACTTTCTCCTTTTTCTGTTGCTTCTTTCATCCATCCAACTAAAATTTTAATGACAGTACATTTGTTGTATAAACACATCTTTTTTTTCTTGAATGCTTCATTCCCTCTTAGGTTATTTATTACTCCTTCCCTCTCTTCTTTTTCTGTACATTCTTGAAGATATTCAATTAAGTAATTTTCTCCAATTTCTCCTTCATTAACCAGTTCAACTATTTTACCAACACCTTGACTTATCTCTTCCATTCTTTTCTTCTTTTTTTTTGTTTTTCTTTTTTATTTTTCCTGTTTGTAAATTCTGTTGTTTCTCTACATCTTCTTACTCTCCTTTCTCTTTACTCCTTACATCTTACAATACTCCCTCATTACATTGTTCTTATCTTAATTAACATTTCTATGTTTGAACAGTCCCAATTGTCCTTCCATGAACAACAATGATAGTCTCAAGTTAATAACTGGAAA